AAGGGGTCATCAGTAAAACCATCTGCAGCCAAGAAACTTATCAAGTCTGCCTCTCCCTCGAGGTCCTCTTCTGCCACGGAAATCGAGACGCAACCTAACAAAACAGAAGATGTTACCCTCGGTCCTGTTGCCACAAAAGCTCCATTTGAAGACATATCTACTAAGGGTGATGAAAGCAATTCTGGCTCTTCTCGTACCAAATCTGGCGATGGTTCTTCACCCGCCACAAAGGTTAGGGGTTCTAGATTCTTTTCACGCATAGCAAGCAAAAGCTTTAGAGCAGTTAGACTGAATGAACTCATTGATCTAAGCCCAGACAAAGAAAATACCCCTACACCCGTAGCTTCTCCTGCTAGGCATGTTCACGTTGATGACATTGAGGTTGTTTCATTGTTCTAAAATCTGCTTAGACCTTGAAATCTGTCACCATATCTGCTAGTTGTTATTTTTGATCTTTTTTCTTCACATTTGTAGAGTGTTGCTGCTGATGTGTCCATGATTGATGATGATTTGGAGAATGAACTTCTTGCCCAACTGGACACGTTGATGGATCATCCGGCTAAATCTGGATCTACCACAAATAGTAAAGGGAAGGCAGTTGCTGAAGTGGATTTTCATATCAACCTCCCTACCCAGGAGCAGATTAGCTTTGCCATTATGACCTTGCAAGAGCTTTTTGATGGTGATCCTTCTCATTTCTGCAAAGTGCCGGACCAGCCAGCCGCCTTTGAAGCGACTCAAATCCTTAGTCGAGCTCCACAATTATCATCTACTAAACAAAAGTTCTGGGCAGACTTCACCACCATTTATACGCATTTCAGCAAGAGATTACGGGTACTCGAGAGCAAAGTAGCAGCTGCAGAATCTGTGAGGATATCTATAGCGGATAGCACTAATACTATCTTTAAGAAGAAGGAAGAATTCTTGGCAGCAAAGGAGGCTCATGTCAGACAAGTCAAACATCTCCAAGAGCTTAAAGAAGAAATCTCTAACCTTGAAGCCAAGCTTTTAGAGTTAAGAAACCAAGTTCCTCTTGCGGAGGAAAGTGAGAAGAGTTTGGCAGAACAAAGAAACAAGCTCCACGTGGACATGGAAGCTGGCTTGAAATCTACTACCAAGATCAAGGATCAGCTACCTTCTTTCACAGCCTCTGCAGATGAAGTCGCTGAAGAAATCAAGAACATGAGAGAAGAATGGAGCACTTGGCAAAACAACCTTTGTTGATTTTTCTTTTATGTATCTCCTTGTCTCTTTCCTTGTACATTGTCATGTTTAACTTATTGTTTGCGGCTTATTGGCCATACAAACTTCTTTTTCAATGTTGATCTCTTTCTTGGCTCATATTCTGGAAATCTACTTGTACTTTTTGTTCATACTTTGGTACAGGTTAAAATTTGTCATGGCCGAAATCTAGCAACTGTGGTTGTTCACAGCCAAATTTGGCCTACTTGCAGATTCAGCTCAACACTTTTATTGAATGATAAAATGCTAAACAATGAAATAGAATACTGTACAAATCCTACCTCAAATTTGTCTTAGGTAGAATCAATGGTATCTAAACCCCTAGCCTCCCATACCATAAGATAGTAAGGCTTAAAGTAGATTCCATTTATTTTTCGAGAATTTAACTCTCCATTTAATGATTCAAGCCAATATGCTCCTCCTCTAAGCACTTCATGTATACAAAATGGTCCTTCCCAATTTGGAGACCATTTCCCAAATCTGGGGTCCTTCTTTCCAGGTAGCAGAATTAATTTCCATACTAGATCTCCTATTGCCAGACTTCTAGATTTCACCCCGTTTGTTGTATGCTCGAGCCACTTTTAATTTCTGCGTTTGCAGCATATCTAAGGCCGTCAATCGCATACCTTCAAGATCTTCTAACTCTAGAATCATTGCTTCATTATATTCTCCAGAAGTAAGACCATGTTGAATTGCTAGACACAATGATCTAGCAGATAACTCCATGGGCAGAACAGCATCATGTCCATAAGTTAAAGAGAATGGAGTTACCTTGGTAGAACTCCTTTGTGAAGTTCTGTAAGCCCAAATTGTCAGATAACAGCTCATGCTAACACCTTGGATTATCATCAACCATTTTTTTCAGCAGATTTATCACAATTCTGTTGGAAACATTCCCCTAATGAATGTTTTACAAGATAAAATCGACAAGAGAATTCTGTGTTTTCCAGATAAGGCCAAAGAAACTATGGGAGTTGATGCAGATCCATTCCCTACCATATCTGTTGGGGTGAATGCGACAGATCTCAGAAGCATTGCCAGGGACAGAACTCAGACATATAATAGGCGCAGACTTGCAGCTGATGATCTGAGGTGGGTCATTGAGGAAGCCAGGGCCCGTAGAAATCAGGTCAGGTCAAATCAGGTTCATACCGAAGAAGACAGCTCGGGAGGCATAACCCAACTCAATAGAAAAATAATGCAAATCAAAGAACTGCAATATCTGGACGCGCAAAAAAGCCCATAATGGTGAAACCACCACCCAAAACTCCAACCAAACGATGGGAACGTGTGGTGCATCCAAAATTTCCTAAGGGTCAAAACCCAAGGACCTTGAGGAGGCGTTTACAACGCAAAAGGGCAGCAGAAAGACACCGACAACAGATTGCAGACTCGAGGGGCATGGCAAATCAGGACCTCGAGGGAGAGGCAGACTTGATAAGTTTCTTGGCAACAGATGGTTTTACTGCTGACCTTTTGATCCCCAAAAAAAAAAAAAAAAGTGTGTTAGCAGAGAACATGTCACAAAGTTGCAAACCAAAGCGGAATTACCTCCGATTCTTTGCTGCTTGGAGGGAGTATTTTCTTCCGTGGAATTTGCAGAAGTAGCAATCTTCCTTTTGACTTGAGCTTTGGGCGCTCTCCTTGGCAGATCTGGCTGGCTGATCTGGGCAACCATGGCAGATTCTAGGTCTTCACTTTCCTTTACAACTTTCTTCTATTCAAATTTTTTGGTGAGTGGTGGAGGAACCAGAACAAAAATATTGTCCATAACACCGAGGAACCGAGGATGGAAGTAGTCTCGCCACCAATTTCTATAGGAAGAAGTGCATCTCGGTCGGAATGGAGGGTTTGGCAAGATCATTGTCTATAGAGTGTTTGTGATGTCAGTAAGCTTGGTAATCAAAATCTTTGAATCCCAAATCATAAATCGAAGAGGATAGCTATGGTTGAAGGAGAATAGTGGCAGGAATGGTATGTCTTGGCAGTATCCTAGCTGCCGACAGAATTGGTTCGGTGCATAGAGCTCCATGCCGCATCTGGAGTTGAGAGTGTTCAAACTACAGCCAACAAACAGATCTCGGGAGGTCACACAAACAGACCAAAATGCTCGAAAATCTGGGGATTTGACATCAGCCCCGTACCATGAAGGACCGTGAGATCTGCCTAGAAACACAACAAAGTCTGCATCAAGTCTATCGATAGAAAGAGAAGCAAAAAACTTGAGGCACTCTTCAAAGCTTCTCTTGTTCTCCACGACATTCTTAAACATAAAGACGTAAGTGAGCAGATCCCGGGCTGGAACAGCAGATAAGACAAGAGCGAGTGCCAAAAAATAAGAATACAACCACAACTGTAAAATCTAAAGCGGCCCACCACTAATGACTAAGGGGTGTGCTGTGATATCTTGGCAACTCCTGTACAAATGAGCAAGCAAAAAAGGACCCACAGCCATTTGTCTATCATACGCTAAAGCAGCAGCTAAAGGAATAAACTCTTTAAAGGGACCTTTACCAGCAGAGCAGACTATATATTTGCAAATCAAAATAAGCAGAAATAAAATATGCTCATCAGCATTGACAGGCTTACTTTTATCATAGGTAGACCTCATAAAAACTGGATAAGAGGACTTCAACTCTGCATTGTACTCAACACCTGGAGGCAAGGTCAATAGTGCTGAAATTTTTTCTCTAGTGCAGGGCAATCCAGTTAACGAACTGACATAAAAAAGGCTCACAAACATGGCTCCATAGAGAAAATGAAACAGTTGAAAGAGCCAAACCAAAATAACAAAGCCAAACCCAAGACCAGCTTATCCATAGTGAATCTGCATTTGGTGAGTTGTATAAATTCAAATAAACCCACATCTTTCCAAATTTAGCCAAAATCAAGTTCCAGACGATCAATCCAGTCCACCCATTCTGATTTCCTCCAAACTGGCCAAGCTCCAAAAGAGCTAATCCATTTATTCCAGTCAGGTTTTACCTGAAAAGAGAGAAGATGTTCTTTGGGTTGTGGGTAAATGGAGGCAAGAGAGGCTGGCAGATGAAACACAAAATAAAGACCCAAAATCTGAGATTTTTTATGAGGTACGAAATTTTGATTTGAATGGCATGGTTTTTGTTGCTGGAGTACCCGGTTCACATCATCTTGAAGATTTTGGTTTTGAAAGAGTATAACCAAATCTGGTGGGGGTGATTTTAAGCAATGAGTGACCTTTGAACCGACCATGGAAGCAGATCTGGTTGGCATGGATTGTTCTTCTCAATCACGAGCCATGGAAATAATTTTGGCAAGGGAAGGCTGTTCAGTACTGGGCCACCGGACACAAGCCAAGCAGATCTGCACATAAAAAATAAAAAAAATAAAAAAAAAAAAAGAGAAAGGAGTTAGCCGGCAGTCACACGGACAAGGAAGATGACCGGTAGGGTCCACCAGACATAAGCGAAGCAAATTTTTGTAAATAAAGAGCAAAAGGGAGTCAACCGACAGCTACATGTGGGGGAAGGAAGATTTTCGATAGAGACCACTGAGTATGGGTGCAGATTTGGACAAGCAAAGGAAGAGAGTGCAGCCGGCAGTAGATCTTGAAAGTTGAAGGAAGTGGGTTGCTGTTTTGGGTGGATCTGGGGAAGTATAAAAAAAAAAATGAAAAAAAGGGGCCAGTAATGACTGGGAGAAGCTTAAATGTTAAAAGATGGGTTGAAATAGATGAAGATGTTTGGTGAATAAAAGAAAAAGGAGTAGCAGCCGGCGAGAGAAGCAAAAGAAAAAAATGAAAAAGACAAGTCAGTGGTGATGGTGGCCCGTGAAGATGAAGAAGGTAAAGTTAATTCTTTAATTTTCAAAAAGTCCTTGATTTTTGGGATTTGTTTTTGAAAATTAAGGGATTTTATGAAGAATGGAGAAAGTCAAAAGATAGGGCCAACGGTGAAATAAAAAAAAAAAAAGAGAGAAAGAAGAAGAAATACAAACAGCCGACTAAGACCCAAAAAAAAAGGTAAAGGTAAGTTTGACTTTTCGTTACTTTTTGGGTCTTGAAAATTAAATGAATTCTAAAAGCGGCTGGGGTTTATCTAGAAAATTGCTCCAGGAGATATTTGTGAAGTTGCTTTTAAAGAGAATTTGACATATGGCATAAGTAATTATGATGTAGGAGACAATTTATTTAATTAAAACACTTAGATTTATCTTTATAAAACCAAGTGTTGGGGAGTATTGTTTACATCATAAATTGCAAAATTTTAAATTAATGTCACGTGTAAAATATTTTTTTATTGGTTGGAGGAGTTTAAACCATGTCAAATTCAAATTCTGAGCCCCAGGACAAATCAATACTTGTGTTGGCAAAATAGGAGAAGTAAAGATAATTTTTTATGGAGTAATTATCTTCTTAATACAGAAAGGGATAATGGGAGCTGAAAAATAAGAGAAGATCACAGTTAAAAAGGGAGTTTTATCTAATAAGAGTACAGGTGACGAAATCTGAAAGGAGATTAGACTAAGTCAAAAGATGAGGTGTCCCACTACTTCAAAAAACCACCCATGATTGAGTAACTGCAGAAAGTGGAAGTTACTGCCGGTACAAGAAGAACAAAGAGGAAATTTTGGAAAGGAGAACGACGGTCAGCCCTACTCAAACAACTGCAAATTTTCATACTTTGATTTTCTTTGCAATTTGCTTCCAGATTTCGAATTTCAACACAGATTCCAATAAAATTATGTTGTTTTTCATCATTTCTATAAACAATTTAATTTATATACTTGCTACATCAGTTTCACTTCATGCAATGAATTTCAACATTTCAAGTTTCTTCCAGGTACTGTTCATTTCTTGTCTAAAACTAATTTATTGTTTATTTTAAGTAGCATTGCTTCAATGATTACTTATGTGGCTTTTATGCTTCTTTCCAATTTCAAGTTCTTCAATTTATTCATTGTTCACGTTTAATCTTAGTGCTAATTTAGGATGAAGTTTCCAATTCTGCAGCAATTTAATTTCCGAATCTGTCATGAGATTGCATTTTTAATTTTACCATAAGCATGTTTAATTTAATTTGGGAATATTTCTTTCTCGCAAGTTTATTTTAAATTGCAAATAATTTAGAATAATTAAGATTTGTTAATTTTAAATCACGGTAATGTTTAAGTCCTTGGAGTTGTCCAAGGCAGATTTCGTAACCCAACCTGCAGGAAGGTATCCCTCCCTCTTGCAAATCGTCTAAAGGCGCATTTTCGATTTTAATCCAACGTTCTTCCCACTATCTGCAAAGAGATCGACCGTGAGGAAGAAGAGGGTCGTTGAGAAAGTCCTCCTTTCTTACTTTCAGCAAAGTAAGTGACACGCCCGCATTCAGATTTCACACGTGCGTGACCACTAGAGGATTTTTGAAGAAACATTTTAATTTCAATTTTCAGATTTAATTTTATAAGTTTTCAAACTTTAATCAGTTCATAGTTTCTTCTTTAGTTTTTAATTATCAAGTAATTTAGCTATTTTTATTTTAATTCTGCCAGTAATTAGTTTAATCATTATGGTTACGTAGTTGAAATCATTGTCTGTTATTTTACTTTTTCTGTTGTCTGCGAATTTAATCTTTATGACATGTTATTTTCTGTTATTTACTTCATGTTAGTTTAATTGCCTTAAGATATTGCATTTATCGTAGGATTTGTAGCTTTTATTATACTTGTTTGGTTGTGAAGGCCTTGGAGGTTTCCAAGGCAAAATGAGTTACTAATTGCCTTGACAACCTTCAAGAACTTCACAACCAAACAAGTATAATAAAAGCTACAAATCCTACGATAAATGTAATATTCTAAAGCAATTAAACTAACATGAAGTAAATACCAGAAAATAACATGTCATAAAGATTAAATTCACAGACAACAGAAAAAGCAAAATAACAAACAATAATTTCAACTACACAGCCCATAATTATTAAACTAATTACTGGCAGAATTAAAATAAAAATAACTAAACTACTTGATAACTAAAAACTGAAGAAAAAACTATGAACTGATTAAAGTCTGAAAACTTATAAAATTAAATCTGAAAATTGAAATTAAATAAACTGAATGTTTGGATATTGTGCAGAAACAAAAAAATAAAGGTAGAAAACATTCAACCTATTTACATGAACGAATAACATAACTAAATTCATAAAAATAAAAATAAAAATAAAAAACTAACCAAATCAAAATGACAGACCTATTTTGAAGACTAAGTTGCTTCGAAATGCTTAAAAATTAATTTAAATTGAAATTTGCAGAAAAAAATATGAGCAAAGATGAACAAACCTAGGTTAAGGCTATGAACAAGAGTAGATCTTGCAAACTAATCTGGAAAATCTGAAAACTATTGCTGAAAACTGAAAAATTACAGTCTAAAAACTGAAAAACATGCTCTGAGCAGTGTATGTGTGTTGGGCAGGCCTCATGAACTGTTCTCTTCTCCTTGTTTTTGTTATCTTCGATGTTGGACTTTCTCCATGATTTTCAGTACTGTTCCTCTATGATCTGGTAGTGGGATTGCAGGTCTGTCAGTTACTTGACAATTATCCAATAATTTTTATTCAACTTTATCTCTAATAACCTTAAAAATAACTATCTAAAAACCCTCAATTTCTCATTTTAAATCAAACTCAAGCTACCAGATCCAATCTTATCTTCTATCACCTAAGATCTAACCTCCTTGAAAATCCGTCTGGACCATTAAATTATAAACCAACTTAACCCAAATCCAATCTATTGATTTTTTTGATAATAAGATTTTATCTTGACACGTGACTTTACCCTATTAGTTTATTTTAGGTGTAAACAGATAACTATCTAAAATTTCAATGCTCCATAATCAAGTATGTCATATATTCCATTTTTGTTATGACCGGAGACATCATGTTTATGATACATTCTTCTCAGAGTTAATTGGTAAAAACATTCTTAATGTTCAATTGTTAGTAAAAATCATCATTTTTATTTTACTACATTTGCTTATGTTTTGTTATTTTTGCCTTATTTTTGATTTATTAGGTCATTGTAGTCTTTTATTAGGTTTATAATTCTGCTAATTATATATGCACATATGGAAATACCACAAACTTTGTTTTGATAAATTCTCATTGAAAAAGATTAAAACATCCTACTTAAAAGAAAAATTAGTCTCATTTCTCGTGGTGCTTTGTGAGTGTTTTTTCACCTAATTTTTTTCAAGTCCAGCCACTATGATATGATAGCAGAGCAGATTTTTACTATTAGCTGCTTTCTGCTTCTAATAACACTGTTCAGTGTCACTCCATTTTGATTGAAAGAGTTACTCTTAACTATTTTATCACTATTACTAAATTAGGGTGTCACTACAAGAAAAATCTTTAAAGACTACATTTTTTAACCAGCGTTTTGTAGAAACGCTGGCATTTGTTGGGTGGGTTTTCTCGTGCCATTATCGACTTCAATGTTTTATATAAACGCCATATTTAATACATTAACGATGGCGTTTTTTCCAAAAACGCTGCACTTTTTGGTTTTCAATTTCTAATGTTTTAATTAAAATGCTATATTTATCCAAAAAAATGAGCAAACCTCCCGGTAGATTTCATTTTCCCTCGCCATTCCATTTCTCAGCAAAAATCTTCTTTCCTCCCTCAAATTTTACACTTCCACTCTTCAAATCTGATCCTTTATTCACTCAAAATTTCTCCTCCCAAGCTTTCCTACTCATATTAGTTAGTTCTCAAAATTTCTCTAATTAGTTCGATCCTGGTTTCTCT